GCAGCCCATTACATTAAAACTGCAGAGCTGCAGCGGGGGTAGCTCCTGGACTGGATCAGAGTGCCTTCCTTCCCTTATCGACTTTGACTAATTGTGTCGTTGACACAAATTGTAATTACCCACCTATTAACATCCTTAATCTTTAGCAGTTTCACTCTCAAAATCCATTTTCTCTTCCTGCTTTAGATCCTGATACTGCAATCAGACCAACGAAGGCAGTTTCCAGGCCTTATTCTATAGGATACTTTAAAAGGAACAAATAAACAATTCTTTTGCTTCCCAATTATAGTTACAAACTTCTACTTATGAAGTGCCCACTCTTTAGAACAAACTGTTTTTCTAAACACAGTGCACTTACATTTCTGTCATGCTCTGGGCTAGGTCTAAAACATGCTTTAAATAAATTGCTGGTCCAGACTTTCAGGCGCGAATACTGATTTTGCATGTCTAACTTGAAATTTCCAAGAGGGTGAGCGGTCAGTGTAGTCTAGAAATGAGGCCCATTTAAATAATGCCTCTGTTGCCAGCCAAATATTGTTAATTGCGTTTTAAAAACATGGCTACTTGTAGAATGCCCTCAGGTTCCTGCTATGTTAAAAAAAAAATTAAGCTGATCCACAGGCCAAATAATGGATATTCAAAGAATTATTTTCAGACCAACTTAAAGCATTAAGGCTAAACATGTGTTTCAACAGAGTAACACCCAAACCAATATTACTTTCAAAGAGTTCTGCACCTCGTAAAAAATTCAAACATTGAGATCTCTGGAAAAAAATGTTAGTTAGCATAGTCCACTTAAACATAGTCCCCTAAAATTTGCAAAAAATATACACAAAGGTGTTTTGCCCCTAAAATTTGCAAAAAATATACACAAAGGTCAAGATAAGTTATTGTGAGATGATGAAACCCTATTTCCAGTAGTGCCTGGCAATTTCTTAGTCTTTGAACAAACTTTTAAAAATATAAGGAGGTATAGCTGTGTTTGAGAAACTGTGTGAACTGTGCCAGGTAAAGTGGCAGCAAGAAACAGGCTGAATATCTTCATTGTTTATTTCTACACTTCTAGAAACCCCAACATTAGAGTGTTTGGGTTGTTTCTATATAGCAATATTGTTTGGGTCTTCGCCAAACTTGAGTGAAGGGTTAGCCTTAGTATAGAGTTCCCAGCAGGAAAGTGCTACTCTGACAGCTCTTATGGATTCTACTTGGATTTTTTAGGCCAAGACATTTTGGAGATGTCAGCCATAAAACCTTAGAAAAGTTTTCAAAGCACCTCAGTTTTACAACTCCTTTTCTGATTATCATCAACATGCCAGAATAGTTCTGAGAGAATGAGTTGAAGCTTTTAAAATTCCAAGAAAATTGGTTTCTTTGGGAAAACCTTGATGGAGAAGCCTTTGAAATATCTTACCAGTAACAGGAAGCTAACATCAACATTAACTATGAAGCAGCAGAGAATGCTCTACAATATTCCCTGTTGCCAGTAAGGTTATGATACATTTAATTTCATCCTTGTTTCTCTCTAGTTATATCATAACCTTACTGGCAACATTTAATTTCATCCTTGTTTCTCTCTAGTTATCAATGCTTTCTCTATTGCAGTAGGCACACAGAGAAAATTTCACTTGTATGGATAGACGAACACATACACCCTCTCCCAAAAAGATTACTAATAGACCCAGAAGAGATAAGAGTCAGATCTGCTGGTCCATGAAAGTCTGAGAAAGAACAGTGATAAATCACTTGCTGTAGCTTTGAGGGCAAGTCTGATATGAAAGGTTTGCTGTATTGATTAGCGTCTGAAGCATGTAGACATTCATTACTAGAGACGGATACTAAGTAATGTTTCATCACAGCTTAAAAGTAGATTAACGTAAAGTGTTCAGTATTTTACTTGGCACATCAATTAAACAAGTAGCTAAATTAATATTAAAGGAATAGTGAATAAGTCAGTCTTCTATCTAATACCCAGGAATTCTCTACCCCCACTTCTAAGAGTATGGAAAGTACTAGACAGTGCACACACTGTCTCAATTCTACATGCTAGACTGAAATGCTCCAGGGTGTGACTTGCAGCTGGAACCATTTAAAAGCCAACTTCTCTGCTCTCAATCCACATTTACATTAAATGTAGTTTTACAAATTCACAACTAACATTTTACCAAACAGCACACACAGACACACACTTCTACTCAATAATAAAAATGTCCTTTGGCCCCCAGACAACTTATTATCTATAGCCTTGTATACCTGACAAATATAGGGAAAAAAAACATGTTTGACCCATTCCCTGACCCTTCAACAATGGACCTCTTTGTGAGCCTTTAATATCCTTATCAGGTCTGTCTAGACACCCTGACAGCAATTGTCCCTAGTAATGTCAAAACGCACTCTGACCCTTCTTCTCATCCTCCAGCTCAGCCAGAAATACTTCAATGGGATGGACCCAGCAGCCAATTAGCTTCACAGTCTACAGGGCACACCTGTGTCTAAGCTGATCTGCACATCTTTGTACAGAAAACAGACTATTTTATACCAGGGAGAAAGCCAGTAGGTTTAAATAAACAGGAAACTGGTGTCAATGACAGTTGGTTTCTTTAAAGCTCCCTTGGATGAAACTTTGCTTTCACTTCTCATCCAAACTAAATTTTTTTTTTTTAAAACAATCTAGTACGTCTAGAGTGTTCTAGCTACATGGACATCAGTCCAGTATTACATAGAAAGAAGATTTATAATGAAATCTTAAGACATTATTTAAACAAAAATAAGCATTTTTGGAGGAAAAAATACATCTCCGAGCCTAGGTTATTACTCTTAAAAGGGCATATGCACATAGTTGTGTGTCCAGTTTGTCTGAATCTTATTTATAGGATCAGCCTCTCCATGCACATACAAAAGTACAAAGCAGCTAAAGTCTTAGCATTTTCAAAATGCTACAGTGACTAGTTTCAAGATATCCTTATTTTACCAAGTGTAAGCAATAATTTGGCTTTCAAGACCCATCTGATCACATTAGAAAGTCATTGCAGTCTGAGGGGAAAATAACCCACACACAGTCTTCTACACACACACACACACACACACACACACAAACAAACATAAAAACACAAAAAAGGACTGGAAAGAAGAAAAACAGAATTTTATCCTCAGGATGCAGGATAATAAAAGATGTAATAAACCAGAACTAGCTTAGCCCTAAAGCTAGGGAGGATTTACAAAGATTGTTTAATTGATTTTTCTTCTATTAAAATGCAGATCACACTGTCTGGGATTCAGAAACTCAGACACATGTCTTTGTGTCCACTCAGCTCCATGAAGTCTCCTGTCTGAAACTCGCACAATGCCTAACTTGCACGTGTTCAAAGACATGCTGTTCCTTTTTGTCTGGGCCTCTCAGGACTGGAATAGAGTGGGGGAAATGCAAATCCCCTACACATTTGTTGAAAGTTTAAGTTTTTTAGGATTTTTAGTCACAATCCACCACAAGAAAAGCATACAGTACAGCCAGCACACGTACAGCTATAACTCAGCAACCTGTTTACAACTCAAAGGGTAGTTTTAAATATCCAGAGCACATTTAATCTATGTTAAAAAGAGATTCTCTAATATACATTATTACTGTGTTCAGCAGCGATGGAACTGATCACAATCACCAATGCCTTAAACTGAGGGACCGGTGGGATGTTAGCTAGTCCCTTCCCTTAACTGAGATTATGTATTTACAAGCCACAGAAGAGTGGGCCACCAAGTCTATTTTTTCTCATCCCAGATCCCCATTATTTAGTCTCCGCCTTGCTACAAACTCTCTTTATTGGGGATAACTGACCTTATGCCAATGACAAATGTACCAGTTAGCCCAACTAACATGACAGTAACCGCAGTTTTTCCTATACACATACTACATATCTTTCCATACGTAGCCAGACAGCTCCCATTTGCTACAATACAAAGCAGAGGGAACTCTCTCTCAGAAGTACATCAGCCCCTACAGTTCAAGGAACCAAAGGTTTGATCTCCACATAACAGAGCAGAGCATTAGACATCTGGCCAGCCCTCCATTAGTTCACTATAATTGATTCTAGTTTGTGATTTAATTTAAAAGCATTCTGAAGAATACATTAGTCCCAGAACTCTGGGGCAGATAGGGATGTGGTGAGAAAAAAAAACAAGTCTAATTCCCTGGGCAAATGTACTGAAATATACTCTTAACTTCCATTTGATTTATCACCGTCTCCAATAACAAAGATATGGGATAATGCAGTAGTTCAGTGACAAATTAACACGGTTATAGGGATAGTGCAAGTTTGATTTCTTGCTCAGATCTAGTGTGTGAATCTATCAGCACTGTAAGAACACAGTGCGATAGATGCAAGAACACACGCTTATGAAGATGTGAAGACCATGAATGGCATAAGCTTCTTAAATAATGATTTGATCCAGGAGTGGTCTGTGCCTCATCAATAAATAACAGTGCTTTAAAAGCCAGTCTCGTACTGTACCTGTCTCCACAGGGATGTTGCATATGATCCTCATTTCACAATGGAGGAACAGAGGTTAGCTGTCTTGCCCAAGGCCATTATTAATGGCAGAACTAGGATCAGATCTCATGTATTTTTTAAACCCAAACCTGTGATCACTATTGCACACTACGATTTCAGGTTTTTTTGAGGAATTATAAAATCTACATCTTTCTCCTCTGGGGGGGGAGGGGGGGGGAAGACTAGGAAATCTTGTACAATGTTCATAGTTACCTTCTGAATTCTTTTAAAAAAATATATTAACTCAGCCTTATGAAATTCAACTTATCCAAAACATGTTACTGTTTGATGAGTGAATAAAATGAGCAATCTGAGGTGGGTGGGCCACGATAAATTTCAGGAACAAGTTCTCCAAATCTCTCTAACAGATTCACAAATTCTAACTTTTTTAAACAGGGGGATTCATCATCAGCACAGCACTTTCTTTGCACATGCCAAGTGTGCTTTAATCTGTGTTGTTACCTGAACTGCAATCCAGCTGGCATTCACAGCATGTTCTCCAAATGGGCCAAACCCTGAAATAGAAATAAAGATTTAGTGATGAAATCTTTATGGCAGACTTGACTGGATACAGATATGCAAAGTGATTTGCACTTTACTTTTTTAAATGTGCCCCAGGGAAACTACTCAAATACCACAATGATTTCTTCAGATACCAAATTCTTGCTCATTTACATCCAAGTACTCAAATCCTTTCCACCTTCCAAAAGTATGACTTATAGAACATCCTTTATGTCTTTTCAATAACAAAAAAAAAATACCAAAGATTACAATTCAATAGGTTGTCTAAATAAAGACCACCCTCCCAATTCTAACAGAGCTTGTTTTCCTTCTTTTCAGAAGTTACGAAGTTTCTGTTCTTCATTACCAGGTGCAATCATCCTGTCTCACAACTGTCAGAGCTAACCACATATCCCTCTACAAATACATAAGCAAATAAACAGGTCCACTAAATATTTCCAAATCATAATTAAGTCTTCCATTATTATTGGTATATTTTAACATTAAGTTAAACAGAATATTGCTGATGGTTCCTGCACAATAAGCACCAAAAGGTTACAATAGTTCAATGTAAAATACTTGCCCAAGCACCTAAATTTTGTAATGAATAACTTAGTTAACTTGTAACTCATAACAGTTTTTACTGAGCAAGCATTTCCTTGCTCTGGCACAACCACAGAAGTTAGGCAATTCAGCTGCGTGTAAAGTTATGCCCTTATAGTTTTAAATTAACTTTCAGAATTTGTTAGACTGGAGTGTTTGTGAAAACACACAAAAGTCTTGTTCAGCTGAAGGAAATACCTTAAGAATGTTGCCATTATTATGACAGTAATCAGTTTGGTGTGAACAGTAAGTTATGTTTCAGGTTATACTGCATACAACTATTATGTTATTTACTGTGTACTCAAACAGGAATTTTATTTAAAAACACACACACACACAAAAACCACCACAGTCTCAATGTACAATCTAACTAGTGTCAAATTCAAATTTCAGCTTGTAAAGAAAATCCTGTTAAGTTTTCCACAAGAAAGTGTCCTCTCTGTGCAGGCATAATCCCCCATAAGCTAAAGGTCACTGGAGACAGTGTCATACCAGCAATTAGTGAAAAGCAACACAATGCAAACACATGATTTTGTTAATTTCTTTTAGAGTACCATTGAGTTGACTATCTAAAGATGACCAGAAATGTTTCCTGATCCCAACTGTTGTATTTCTTAAGTTCCATAACAAGCCTAGCTACAAAACAAAATTCCTTATTCAGTGGCAAGTCCAGAGGTGCCCACAGTATAGTTTAACCCTCTGATTCCTTATCTGTTTCCCACAGACATGGCCTTCTGCTCTTCACACCACACATGGTGTGTACATGGATTCCTTCTTGTCCGGTGCCCTTTATGGAAGATAACTCAACTAACCGCATCCATGAATTCTCCGACATCCACACTGAGGGGGCCTTATTTCCCAGACTTTTAAAAAGAGACTTCAAAAAGCAAGTACAACAGTTGTACAGTACACAGATTTCCCCAGTGGTAAACATGCGTCTAAGGCAAGTTAACTTCTGTCAGAACTGGACTCCCTAGATGCGCAGGAAGAAAGTGCTGAAAGACACGGACATTTTACAAAACACAACTTTTCTTTTTTTTAGGCATTTGATGGGACAGATGAGTGGCAGATGTAGACACTTTTTGTTGCATATCCTGGCTTTTTCCAACCCCAGCCAGAACTGCCACCTTCTTCCTAGGTCTACATAAAGATGCCTTGTAGAAACACTTGCTCCCCATTTAAATCACTCCAGTGCATCAGCAAAACCTCTCACCACTTTCCCTGACTTCACAGTCCAAATAACCTTAATTGCAGTTTGAATGGTTTTATCCACTTTTCCATTTGTTACAGAGCTGCCTTCCCCACAAATCAAGCTGCCGACCCCTTTGTACCCTTAGGAAAAGATTCTGACAAGCGCTTGCCTGCTATGTAAGAGCCTTTCATTCCTTCCTTCGCTTCCCCACTTCCACTCTGCTAGGCACAGTTATTTTGGTAACACTTTTGGCGTGGATGGGGGGAGGACGGGGAGACGTGTGGGTGTAAATGCCTCTTCATGCCCCAGCTTTCCAGGACTCCCCATGCAGCCGTGGGCAATTTGACTTTTAATACACCAGATTATTCGCCTTGCTCCCCCAACAAGACCCTGTGCAGGGAGCAGAGGCTGGAAAAAGGGGGGGGGGGAAGGGCACAGACCATCCCCCCCCACAACAGGCAGCTGAGAAAGTGAGGCACAGCCAGATCCACCCCCTCCAGGAGAGAGCTCTCTGCTCCCC